GTTGAACATGCCTTATTGCTTGAAGAGAAGATGGGATTGCAATTAAAACTTCTAGCAGCAGCTGGATTACAAGGTGTACCCGATCCCACCACACAATACAGACAGCTTGTAACAACAGATCAGATACTGGTAAGCAAAGTTACCAATTAAAATTTTACCATATTATTTATTAAGTCAGATTCGTCATTACTGAATCCAAAATTACATAAAAAATTAATATAAATATAAGTCCACAAAACTTTTAGCATACCTTGTAAATAATGATATCTATTGATAAGATAAATATAATAAGTTAAATCAATTCTAACGCATTTATCCAAATGTAGGTCTCATCTGGCGAGAAGTACTTGGTGCTGTACAAGAAGTTAGTTTACTTGCCAATTCATTGTATGCTGCTGGCAGCAGCTTGTCCAGGTCAGTGTCTTGGCTGGTGAAAGGCAAAGTAATGCTTATGAGTCGCCGACACTTCCGAAGCGTGCAGAAACATTTGGTGGATTTGACAATCCAAATCTCAGAGGTACGAAAAGTCAGCATGAATGCAAAACATTTGGATTTTGTTACATATTGCATTATTATATACATACATCAAATAATATTATTTTATATTTGTAAGGATAGTATTTCATAAATGGCGTTAATTCACATGTACGTTATTTATTTTAGGATTGATTAAAAAATTTCCACAAAAAGAAAATAGCTCTGAAAACGTTGATGGGCGCATATCTCACAAGCTACCTTTAGTGAGTATTGAATGTTTTGATTGTGTTGTATTCGCAATTAATTAATTGATGTAAAAATGCTGAATAGCACAAATTTGTTGATGTATTGAATTTTACTAAAGGATCGTCTTCCGTGGAAGAGCGCCGTTTTGTCAACTGTTCCTATTGGAGTTCTTGAAAATCATGACAATATTGTGAATAATTCTCAAGAAACATCAGATCAAAATTCTACTTTTTCTGTGAAAGATATTAATCCAAATGATTCTCCTGCTTTATTATCATTAGGAAGGGAACAACAGAAAGCTGCAGTTCAGCTATCTCACTATGTTTATATGTTGCTATGTATAATATCACAACAAATGACAAGCATTAATAGGTGAAGAAATATTTTATCTTTGATGTACTACTGTATAAATGATTATACTAAATAAACTACAAGAAATATTACTTTTAGTTTGCAAGCCCAAATTTCCGCATATCAGGGCACTGGTGCCCAACCGGGCAACGCTAAATATAAGCATAATGACCAATTAGAGGAACTCAGAAATTTACAGGATAAGTTGACAGTAGAAAAAGAGGCGTGGAATAGAGAGCGAATAATGCAGGAAGCTGAACTCAAACAAATGAAACAGGAAATATTAGCATTGCAGGTACAATCGCGTCTTAATTTTTTTTTTGTATTTTAATATAATGCATAAAAGGAAATAAATTTGTTCTATCAATTTAGGAACATGTTAAAGCTGAACAAGAAGATGTGCGACAGCAACGTGAACAACTATACCGCAAAATGGAAGTATTGTCTAATCAGGGTCTTTTAATAAGCCCATCAGTGGCAATTCCAGCCGTGACACCTCCCGTAACTCAGGGAATATCTGTTGTTCAAAATATTTCAATGCCGATTGATGATGTTAATAAACAAGTAGAATCACCAGAAAGTGGTCAAAGTGGAAAAAGTAAAAGTGGACAAAGTGGAAAGTGGAAAAGTAAGACTGATACTTTCATCATAAAAAATTTACACAGTTGTTACATTCATTCATATGACAAATACATATATATATGTATATACGTACATATAAATACGTATGTATATATATACATATATATATATATATATATATATATATATATATATATATATTTGAATAGTCTTGAATTTGATGTTGATATGTATGTTTATTTAGGTTTAAAATTCGGGCGTAATCGTAAAAATAGTAAAATATATGAGTTTTTTTTTAAAAGTTTATTTAAAGCCATTATTCAGCCATTATTATTCAGTCGTAATCAATTAACTATGAAAATTAAAACTAAATGATAATATGTAAGAAATTTCATAGAAAATGATAATAATAATAATAAAACACTTACATTTTGTATCCTAATATAGCATATGCTATCACTAATTGCAAACTCTTTTATATCGGAGAAACTAGTCAAAACCTGAGTAAACGCCTTCGTCAACATAAAAATAACTAAAAAAATCCAAAGCAATTTAAGACGATGTTAACTGAGCATAATAAAAATTTAAACCATAATATAGATTTTTTCAACCCTAAATTTTTACATTTTGAAGAGAACGTAATTAAAAGAAGATTTGCTGAGGGATTGTTTTTGCAATTGCATAACGACAATACGGTCATAAACAAACGCTTCGACAATATGGCCCTGAACGAAACAAACACATGGTTTCTTAATAGTGTGTCAAATTTCTTAAAAATGACAAGATCTCATCGCTCTTAAATTTCCCGTAAAATTTGAACACATGCTAAAAACTGCTTGAAGAAAAATGTGACATTTCTATCTTAAACTCCGAAGAGTAAATACATAGTTTTGACAACTTGTTGAGTTATCATGGTTATTAAAGTGTTTTTGTAATGTTAAAAAATATATATTTTATCAATGTTCACCTTCTCATACCATGGATTAATAATGGTTTCATATAATATATTAGGATACAAAATTGAAAGTGTTTTATTATTATTATTATTATTATTATTATTGTTTTTCTATGAAAATTCTTACATATTATTTATTTAGTTTTAATTTTTATAGTTAATTTGATTATCACTGAATGATGGCTATGATGCTAGCCGAAACGTATGGAATTTAAATAAACTTTTTAAAAAAACTCTCATACTATTTTTATTGATGTTACGCCCGAATTTTAAACTCAAATTAGACATACACATATATATGTATATATATATATATATCATATATATATATATATATATATATATATATAACCAATATCGAGCACTGTGAAATAGAAATGGGAAGTCTCACACTATTTTTTATGAATCGATTTAGAGTTTAAATCTGCTCACAAACCTGTTCTAGGGCGGTACAACCCATTATATATATATATATATATATATATATAAATAAATTCCAATTAAATTTTCATATTGCAGTTGGAGTAAGTCTGAAATAATATATATATATATAGCATTGTTAATACTGTTCATTAAATTAGATTTATAAATTCAAAATTATTAAGCAAATAGCAGAATTAAAATTTAAACCAGTGCTTGTCTAATCAACGTCCAAGTGAGATATCCATCTTCATATTATATTTCTATATTCACAGGCCCCATGAAGCCAAGTTTACCTTTGCAATTAATCAGCGCAACAAATCAACCTAAAGTACAACAGCAGTCCATCAAACAGCAAATACCGCTTAAGTTATCACATCTTTCCAATAGTAAGTCAAGCGCATCATCAACATCATCTCATGTAGTTACATGCGCCAATAGTAGCGTCCAGCAAATGCTGCCTATGAAACTAAGTCAGACACTAGCCAACTCTAGTGGACACGCGAGCGATGGAACCGGTTCGCTGTCCAGAAGATCAATCGGAGGAGGGGTAGCCTATCATAGGCTAAGTTCTGGTTCGCCTATTGTCGACGTAAGTTGAATTTGATTTACATATGATCTGTTTTAAATGATATACTTCCGTTTTTGAAGTTATTGTTACAATTTCTTTAGATTGAATAACAAAAATTCCAGTTATACGTTCCCTGTTCACGAGTTGGAAAACCATCCGCTTTTTTTTGTGTTAACGTCAGACCAAAAAACAAAAAATGTGGTTTACCAAAGAGTACTTCAATGAAACGGATAATTGGCGGATTCACTTTCATTTACTTAGAGAAGTTCAACTAAAAAACACTTCATTTTTGTAATCGAAATAAATTCATTACTGTTGTGCAATAAAATCAAATTTTTCCTTTTCAAATATAAAACAAACAAAAAATTTCTTCATCTTTCTCACGAAACCATCTGGTGGCGAAACGGAGTTCGTCGGGTTTGCTAGTATATATACATGTATATATATATATATATATATCCAAATCTGATACTGATTCTATTTAAATTGAATTGAATAAAACAGCCCATGCATCGAATGTACACATATTTATTTTAAATTTTTATATGTTTTGTGAGTATATGTGCTTTCATCATTTAGCTAAAAGAAATTTACAATATAAGGAAAAGTTTTAGAATTAAAAATAAAACAATTAGAAAAATTAATTTAAAAAAATTAAATTATACATACCAGACCAGGAAAAAACACATGTTACTATCGCCACAAATACAACAATTACATGCCAATACTCTAGGAAAACAAAAACAATTTGAAAAAGAAATGAAAAAGGTAAATGTAATAACGAATTTTAAAACACATGATATGTTCCTACGCATAAATCGCAACGAACACGAGAGACGTACGACCGACAAGTGGTAAATATGACTAACACGAGTTTGTTTTAGAGGAAGAGGATCAATTAGGGGCGTAATAGAAAATCAGATTTACAGAGGTTAATCGAATTTTGATAGCTTTCTAAAGAAAGCAAGAAGAACTGCGTTTATCACACAATTTGAATTTGAAAATAATCCGAATCCTGTTTTTTTTTTAATTCAAAATTTAGTTAATATCTGTAAATCTGATTTTCTACTACGTCCCTGATTGATCCCCTTCCTCTAAAACAATGTCGTGTTAGTATTTCTACATTCGACGCATTGGCTGTATTCATTTCAATTCAACATATATATATATATATATATATATATATATATATATATATATTTGTTTAACATATTTTTTATATATTGCAGGCGATTCCCACGGGTGTTCATACCAGAACCGGAAGCAGCCCGGCTATGATGCAGGCCACACCTTCATCTGAAAATAATTCTGGTGCCAATTCACCAATTAGCACTCAAAATGCAGGAAGTAAACCTGGAAGGTAAACAATATTTTTTATTTATTGGTTAATGTTTTCATTATAAATTTATATAGTTTTTAACAAATGTTCATAAACTTTATGGTAGAACAAACACTTATCCAAAGATACCAGAAAAATTCAGAACGCGCGGGTCGCAATCATCTGGAGCTCCTGAAGAAGAAGTTATGTTTTTCTGAGGGTCTCTGAACAGGTGTGTTCGTCATGTATTATCAATCGTTAGAATTAATTTGAGAAAAAATAATAAATGATTTATTTGAATTTTATTTATCTATGGTTTGCTGGCAACTTACAATTGAGAACATCAGCTATTTCTTATATGACATAATGAATCAAACAGATTTAGTAGCTCTGCTATGAAAACTTTTATTTTTAATAAAAGTTTTATATTTAATAAAATTACAGAACTTTATGCAATTTATCATAGTTTTTTGATAATATTGAATTTTCTGGTTGTTAGAATCAACAAGTTCATATGAAGGATTTTTTTATTTAGTCTGTAAAGGTAATAGAAATAACATATTGATAACACAGTTTAACGTGAAATTGTTATAGTTATGACATTAATATTACTTAAGTAATATTTCATCTCATGAATAAACAATTCTAAAAATATATTTTACAACATTAAATATATTTAAATTATATATATATATATATATATATATATATATATATATTGTATGATTCGGAATTTGATGTTGACATATGCATTAACAAAGTCTAAAAATCGGGCATAACATCAATAAAACACATGAATTTCTTTCAAAAATTTTACATCCATACGTTTCATTCAGTATAATCCTAGCACTCATTCAGTTTTAGTTTCCACTGAATAAAGGCTAGGAAATGTATGGATGTAAAATAAATTTTTGAAAGAAATTCATGTGTTTTTATTGATGTTATGCCTGATTACTAGACTTTGTATATATATATATATATATATATATATGTATATATATATATGTATATATATGAATGTAAAAAGGAATGTGTATATACAAGTTAAACGAGTAAAATTTTGAGAAGATAGTTATTTTGTTCTAAACATCTAGTACTTGTATGCATAATGTCATATATGTGTAAACCTCAAATATATTTCTATTTTTTCTAGTCTAAGCCTTTCCAATAAATCAGTTTTTTTCTACAATCATAAAATAATAATTCATTCTAAATAGGGTTGTTGAATATACTGTACTTGTTATTTTCAATAGTGTCTTATATGTCAAATGATATAATATATTATATAATGATAACATAAATAAAAAATACAAAGAATCTATTTCTTATTTTCAAAATAATAGACACATAAGTTGTTGATGTTACACATAAAAAAACTAATAAACTATAATGTTAAAAGAATTCTTAGAATTATTGTGAAGTAATTGTGCCAAAAACTTTACATTATTTTTTTAAAAAGCATTTAATAATTGTATGAGATTAATTATCATCTAAAATTGACAAAATCCTTAAACTGAACATTTGTTGCTATAAATTTTAGGGCAAATTGTTAAAATGCAGTTCGATGAAACACAAACATAATGTTAAGTTTTAAATGCAATTGTTTGATCTGAAATATAAGTTGTATAATGATTAAACTAACTATTGTATTAGTATTCAAATCATATAAATTTATCAGACATCTATTGAGCAGTATTAGATAAGTCAATCTATCAATTATAAGTAAGGTAAATATTTTGATTGACTACTGGTACACATTTCATTGATTACTAATACATCTTTGATTGATGTATTTACTATCTTAATTGTTATTTTAAAGTTATTTGCTCAAAGTCAATTTGAAAGCTAAAATTTTTCATGCAACCCATATTCAAAACTAACTGTACCTGGTTCATATTATCATTATCTGAAGTATATTATATTACATTGGTACATTGAAATATCATCGTATTAGATACATAAAATATATTAAAAATATAATTTCTCACAAATAATATTATGTTGAATTGTGAATATAAAATAAATAAAAATCGAAAGAGATATTTCGGAAATAAGGATCTCAAATATATAAAAAGTTGGAAGAAAAAAATTGTGTATTCAAGTTTTTGCATGATATAGCAATGTATTTAAGTGAAATATAGTGACTTCAACGCGTTTCTATGTTATTGTAAGAAATAATACTAATGCGTAAATACAATTTCAATAATCAATTAAATAGTGATTAATCTAATACAAATCAGGAATAAAAGTATCACAAATATTTTATTGTAACTGATTCTACAATAACGTAATAGTATTAGTGATCAATATATATTGATTTAATTAATTATAACTGTGCCAATAAGAGCATATTTTACTGATATGACATATTTATTCAAATTATTGGCTAAGCATATTTAAATATTACAGGTTACACAATGTTATTTAATATTTTCATGATAAAATATTTAGATATTTTATTCGTATCAAAATGCAAAATTGTATGTTTTCATGTATTTTATTTGTGATTTATATTGTGCATATATATTTAATTTATTTTAAACTAATATAAGAACTTAATATAAATAAACATATTTTTAGGTAACAAAACATTATATTATATGTACTTATTATTTTAACATAAACGAAATTACTATACATAATTGCATTTAGTTTTATAATTTTTTGATAGTATTATTACGTGTATTATTAAATATATTTTTATAAAAACTTGTGAAGCAAATTATGATAATTATTTTTATGATTAAAAAAGCATTCTTCAATTATTATTCGCAGTAACGTAAAAAGTTTATGAATGACTAAATTGTAATAAAACTTTGAGTTACATATCATCTCGAGATATTTGTATTATATTTGTAAATATAGATTTATGTACATTAACTCATATAGTATATAATATATATATATATATATATATATATATATATATATATATATACTATAATCTGTTAATTTACATTGCTGCAAATCGCTGTCAGAATCTTTTATAACTCTGGCAATGAAAGTAAACGCAATCAATAAGAATAACTTATGTAATCAAAATATAAAAATATTTTTCTTATATAAAATTATAATGTTGTTGTGTTATTATGTAATAAGCTAATATGAATATGTTTTATGTTATATCGAATCTTTAACATAAATGTGAAGAAAAACTTATTATAAATTAATGTTCTTATAAATTAGATAACTGGTAGATCATTCAAACTTAATAATATGATTGCAAATGTTCAATTCCAACATTACAATTGTATGTTGAGTGCCTTTCTTAAATATAAAGCACAGGGGAATTAGCAGTTCATAAATTTTGTACGAGATCACACAAACCAAATGCAGAACTGCTTATAATATGCAATTAAAGATCATGTTAAAATATAAAATTTCTGCAATACTACTTAAATTTTATATAAACACACGCTAAAATAAATATATATGTATATATTTATAAATATATGAGTGAAATATACTACAAGCAATATGAACAATTAAAATATTTGTAAATGCTAATTCCCCTCATTCTTCCAAACTGTGTTAAATAATTCAAACTTACCTCATTATAAATTTATTCTAAATTATTTGTTTATAATTTATTAGCCGTTTATGGCATGTGAATCAAAACATATTATATCGTTTTGTTGTGCAGAACATAGGCTTGCGCTTCGTATCTAATCAAATATATTACAAATTACTATGTAGTCCAAAAATAATAGTTTATGTTCTAAATTTCGGGTCATATTCATAATCTTTAAAGAAAACATGTGCATTCCTAATTCTCTAACAAACTATTGACAATACTTACTACTTATTAGCATTAGAAAAATAAATGTAAGATATAATTGTACTTATAATATTGAGATTAATAATTAATAACATTATCCATGCATTTTGCTATCATATAATTTGTTCGTATAAGAACCATGTTAAACTCTGCATACATATTTTTGTGTGTGTGTCATATATGCGTGTGTGGTATATGTATAAAATTAATATACATGTATAGAATATTAATTTTTCTTTTAAAAATTATATAACAGAATAATAAACCATTAACAGTTAGATGTATTCTGTAATACATATTATTGAGAAAATATATGAACCATAAGTAATAAAAGTTTATTATTAATAGCATTTATTATAAAAAAATATTTGTGCATTTATTACTATAAGTACTTACTTATAGATATAAACATTTACTGCTGCCTAATAATTTTAATTTATTTGACAACTGTTAAACAAATATCAGTAAAAAATTGATTATGTAGTTAAATAATAAACATAGGTAATCGTAAACAATAAAAAGTGATTTGATAATAATAAAAATATATAATAATAAGAAAAATAACAAAAAATTATTAATAATTTTCAACAAACAATTGAGTGTACCAAAAATAATAACACGCTTTTTTTCAAATTTGAGGCAGGTAGGATACGGATACGGAATACATCCTATTAGGTTAGGGGCAGTTGAATATCTGTCGGGACAAAATTTTACATTTGAAGCATTGAATTGTGGGAGATTGGCAGGTCGCGTCAATTTTAGTAAGCGAGACAAAAATAATAATTGACATGGGTTATGGTTGGATCTTTTGTTTTGAACTATGCAAAGTTTTGGTTCAGATAAATTTATGAAATTTATCACGGCATAAATGAATAAATATTTTATAATCGGAAAAGTGTTTGATTTCCGATAGTGGTGACTCCTGTCGTTTGATATTATGCCGCGCCAACACGGACATTTTAGCTGCCACAAACTGCACATTCCTGAATTTATTCCAAATGACTTGGAACTTTGGTTTGCTTTGGTAGAGAAGGCATTCGCATCTTCCAATATCCACGATGAGAAGGAGAAATTCGGATTATTGGTTACCAGGTTGGATATTAGACATTCAACAGAGGTGCGAGATTTGATAATCAACGAGCCTGAAGAGAAGCCTTATTCTACTTTGAAGGCTACGTTAATTTCAAGGTTAGGCACTTCGGAGAAGTCAAAGTTGCAGTTGTTTATGTCTGATGTAGATTTGGGTGATAGGACGCCTTCTCAATACCTACGTCATTTGAGGACTTTAGTCGGGACTTCGATGACCGATAACGCAGTTAAAGCAATATGGTTATCCAGACTTCCAGTGGAAATTCAACCATTTTTGGAGATTGCTTCTGGAGCACAGTCAATACAAGAGGTAGGTGAACTAGCTGACCGCTTATTTATTAACCATTCACAGCAACGTGTAGCTGTGATTACAGATGCACAAACCTCTGAGATTGAAACAAAGAATGCTGATCTGCGTCAAATGCGTCAAGATATCGAAGCTGTTTCAAAGCGTTTGGATAAGCTTCAAATGTATCATAAGAAGGAAGTGTCGTTTAGAAGACGACAAGATAACTTATGTCGGTTTCATAGACGCTACGGAAGTCATGCGAGGAGGTGTATATCGCCATGTAATTTTAAGTCGGGAAACGATACGGGCGGTCACTAATGGCGACTAGTGACAAACGCCCAAATAACTCACGCCGCATTTTCATCACAGATAAGGAGACAAATGTGAGTTTTCTGATAGACACTGGATCCGATGTATGTGTGTACCCGCGCAGTTTGGTGAAATTTCCCCGTAAGAAATGTTCATTTGGGCTTTCAGCAGCAAATGGAACACCGATAGCTACATACGGTATGTTATCTTTAAAGTTAGATTTTGGACTTAGCAAAACTTTATCATGGAATTTCGTGATAGCAGAGGTGTCGCGTCCTATTATTGGTGTAGATTTACTTGCTTATTTCAATCTCGCGATTGATGTTAAAAAACGTATATTAGTTGAAACCCCTGCAGATTCAACGGAACAACTTCAATCGAAAAATAGAATTATACCTTCTATTAAAATGATGACAGCCACATTGTATTCACATGATAAAATTTTAGAGGAGTATCCAGACCTAACACGGCAGACTGCATTAGGGGTGTGCAAACTTGTTACTCAACATCATATCGAAACTACATCAGGACCACCCATAGCACATAAACCACGTCGCCTTGCACCAGATAAGTTAAAAGCAGCTAAATATGAGTTCGAAGCAATGATTAAAGCAGGGACAGCACGACCGTCCAAGAGCTGTTGGTCTTCGCCTTTACATATGGTACGAAAAGGTTCTGGGTGGCGACCTTGTGGAGACTATCGCAGGTTAAATGCGCGGACTCAACCGGATAGGTACCCAGTTCGCCATATCCATGATTTTGCGCAAGCATTATGTGGTAAGGTGATATTTTCTACTATTGATTTAGTGAAAGCTTACAATCAAATCCCTGTAGCTCAGGAAGACATTGCAAAAACTGCAATCACTACGCCTTTCGGGCTATTCGAATTTCCGTTTATGACGTTTGGCTTACGCAATGCAGCGCAAACTTTTCAGCGGTTCATGGATGAAATTTTGCGAGGTTTGGACTTCTGTTATGCATACATCGATGATATATTGGTTGCATCGGAATCGCACGAACAGCATATGCAACATTTACATAGTGTATTCAAGAGGTTGCAAGAATTCGGTGTTGTAGTCAATCCAGCAAAATGTATCTTCGGACAACCAAAAGTAAAGTTTTTAGGATATGAAGTCTCAGCCAACGGAACTAAACCTTTAGCAGACAAGATACTAGCTATACAAAATTACGAAAGGCCTAAGACAGTGCAACAGTTACGTCAATTTTTAGGTATGTTAAATTTTTACCGACGCTTCATTCCGAAAGCCGCAGAAGTACAAGTGCCGTTAACCAACAAGTTGTGTGGTAATGTGAAGAAGAATGCTGTATTGAATTGGGATTCAAATATGGAGAAAGCGTTTGAAAAGTGTAAAAAAAGTTTAGCAGAAGCAACGTTATTGATGCACCCGCGTTTAAACGCTCCTCTAGCTATAGTTTGTGATGCTTCCGACCACACTATAGGAGCGGCGTTGCAGCAACGAATTTATGGTGCATGGGGCCCATTAGCTTTTTTCTCGAGAAAATTGAATGCAACAGAAAGGAAATATTCGACTTACGACAGAGAACTCCTTGCAATTTACGACGCTGTAAAATTTTTTAGACATATGGTAGAGGGAAGAGAATTTGTAATATATACTGATCATAAACCTATCACTTACGCGTTTAAAAAGAAAGATAGCCAGTGTACGCCGAGACAGTTTCGCTACCTTGATTTTGTTAGTCAATTTTCGACTGACATCAGACATGTATCGGGTCAAGATAACGTGGTAGCAGATGCTTTATCCCGTATAGAGATAGTTAACAAATGTGATATAGATTTTAAGGCGATTGCAAATGAACAACATAAGGATATAGACATGGCACAATTGTTATTACATTCTGACCATTCTCTTAAATTAAAAAGAATTTTTATTGAAGAATTGGGAACATCGTTATTGTGCGATGTATCTCAACCAATCATTCGGCCGGTGATACCAAGAAGATTTCGCCGTGCTATATTCAATAGCCTACATGGTTTGTCGCATCCTGGAGCAAATGCTACCATTAGATTGGTAACGCAACATTATGTATGGCCTTCCATTAAGAAGGATTGTCGACAATGGGCTCGCAGCTGCCTAGAATGTCAGCGCTCAAAAATTAGTCGACACATAGTCTCAAGACCGGGAGTATTTCCATTGCCAGGAGCACGATTTGAGCATGTACACGTCGATATCGTGATTATGCCGTTATCAGATGGATATCGTTATTGTCTAACATGCGTAGATCGTTTTTCACGTTGGCCTGAAGCAATCCCTATAGAAAATCAGGAAGCAACTACAGTAGCAAGAGCATTCTTTTCTAACTGGATAGCAAGATTCGGAGCTCCCTTAAGAGTTACATCAGATCAGGGTAGACAGTTTGAATCGTGTTTATTTGAGCAGCTCAACCGATTAATGGGAACTACACATTTCAGGACAACTGCTTATCACCCGGCTTCTAATGGTATGGTTGAAAGATTTCATAGACAATTAAAAGCCGCGATAAGATGTCATAATACTGGGCGTTGGACGGAGATATTACCGACGGTTATGCTTGGTATTCGATCAGCATGGAAAGAAGATCTTCAAGCGACTGTCGCTGAGATGTTATATGGCGAGACTTTAAGATTACCGGGTGCCATGCTGGTACCAACCCAAGAGACCAGTCATAGTGAGACCGATTTTGTAAAAAATCTTAGGAAGCAGATGAAATTGGTTAGGCCTGTGACTGGCACAAGGCATGGAGTAAAACCAACCTTTAGGTTCAAGGAGATAGAAAAGGCTAAATATGTATTCCTTCGAAATGATGGACCAAAAAGACCTCTGCAGAACCCTTATGAAGGCCCATTTGAAGTTTTATCACGATCTTCGAAAACTTTCAAATTGATGATACGTGGTAAAAATGTCACCGTTTCAGTAGATCGGATTAAACCCGCCTACGAAATAGCGGTGAAAACAAATGATTGAGATGTTTACAATCACCCACGAATGGTTCCTCCGTGACAACGTCACTGGGAGGGGGAATATGTGGGAGATTGGCAGGTCGCGTCAATTTTAGTAAGCGAGACAAAAATAATAATTGACATGGGTTATGGTTGGATCTTTTGTTTTGAACTATGCAAAGTTTTGGTTCAGATAAATTTATGAAATTTATCACGGCATAAATGAATAAATATTTTATAATCGGAAAAGTGTTTGATTTCCGATAGAATAATTAGCATAATCAATTTTTTTTTTTTATTTATTTATTTTTTTTTTATTTACATATATACATTATTTTCATATCTCAGTCAGACAGAGGTGCCTGGTATGAGAGATTATGAAAAACAGTTTTCATATAATATTTACATTTCATTTGACTATAATATCTATTTCATTAATATAATATCTATATATATAACTCTTCAGTCTTCTTTGTCTTCTTCAATTTCCATATAGTACTTCTTTATTTTTCTTTTAAAATTATTATTATCATTTGAATCTGAATCTTTGAAAATGAAAATATTTTTATGAGAACCGCGTCGTTATTCGCAGTTACTAGTCCATCCATAGATATTCCATTTCCATAGTATGCATTTCATTTGCCCTCTCATGGCCATGGCCCTCTCCATTCGCAAAAGCTTGTGTCCAAGTTCACTTCATTTGCATGTCGTGAAATTTGTGTGGTGTTTGTTATGACATTTGCTTGTTTTTTTCTTAACAAATAATTTTCAAATATCCGTTAAAAATTACATGTTAATATGTCAAATTTAAGGCAAACGCCATTAACCTGTAGTGGACATACTCGTCCTGTCGTTCACTTAGATTTTAGTGATATTACCGAATGTGGTTATTTTTTAATATCGGCTTGTAAAGGTAACAAAAAAAAAAATGACCTCCAGTCTTATATTCTTTTCCTTGGCCTAATTTACACAATGTCAAGTCGATTGTGATTTATCATAATATAGAATATACTTCATTTACAACTAAACATACTGAGCTGTGTATTTTGTATGTATTTTTATATTATATGAAAATTGATTTAAACAGATGGAAAACCTATGTTACGACAAGGTGACACTGGAGATTGGATTGGAACCTTCCAGGGACATAAAGGTGCCGTCTGGGGTGTTGCATTGAATTCTCAGGCAACTCGTGCTGCTACTGGTGCAGCAGATTTTACTGGTGAATTTATTAAAAGCGCTGTTTTGCATTCATACAACAATATTTATCTCATCTCAATATTGCATATAATATTGCAAAGCCAAATAATTTTTAATATTAAATATGAAAGGCATGTATATATTTTGTTGAATCATATCCATTTGATTTACAGATTTATAATAGTGAATATAATGGTCATAGCTGGGCATTAACTCGTTAATCCGTTAATTGTTAATTAACGAAGTTAACATTTTGATTAACGGATTAACTTTTAAGTTAACTTTTAAAAATGTTAACGGACACGTTAACTTCCGTTAAAATGCGAGAAGTCCGTTAATCGTTAATCCAATGCCTACTATTTACCGCACGGCACAGCTTTAGCCAATGCCTTATTAAACGGCATAGAGAAAAGATTTGGACTACTCCTGAATGATGAACAGTGCCAGCTTGCCGCGGCATTTCACCCAAAGTTTCGGTTAATCTGGCTGGAAACGTATGACAGCAGTAGAGAGGAATGCAGTAAGAAAATGCACGGAAAAAAGGTAGAAGATGCCTTATGGCAAGAAGCAGCGAAAAATTCGAAGGACAGAGATAGTTTAAGTGGCGGAGGGAGCAATGCGAGTAACAACGATGATGACGAGGAGGAAGACTTTTTCAATTCTGTCACTCAGTCTATAGAAAAACCAAAGAGCTACAAACTCTTTAAAGAATAAAGCGCAAATTCTCGTTAAAATGTGGCTGGATATGAAATCAAAAGACTCGTTCAACGATGCTGCATTCCTCGGGGAACAGATATTCATAAATCTATTTATTAAATACAATACTGCTATACCCTCAAGTGCTGCAGTTGAACGTTTTGTTTTCCACGGGTAAAGACATTTTGACACCAAAACGAGCCTCGCTTTCAGACGAGAACTTCAACATGTTAATGTTCATGAAGGGGAATATGCACCTTATGCCCGACGCTTAACCCGTCGCGCGTTTCCTATTTTTCGCAAAAACTAGCTGTAAATGGAATTCTGTCTTAAGGCAATTAAGGCATCGTTCCTTAAGGCAAATTGCTGGTACTTTCCGTACCTAAATTATTATTTTTTTAAAAACGATTAACATTTTTGAAAAAAATTTACTTCGAAAAAATAAGATTTTTGAGAAACTATAAACTATTGGACAAAAAATTAATTTTTTTTGGAAGATCTGAACTTTTTTTCAAAGCAATTTTACTGCTTTAGGATTGCATAGAGACAAAATATAAAGCG